AAACTCTGCTACAAAGCTACTGTACTGAAAACAGCTTAATATTAGCATAAAACCCGACAGGAGGACCAATGGAACCGAGTCAAAGACCCAGATTTCAATTCACACACCTACAAACTCCTGATCTTTGACAAAAAAGCAAAAAGTAAAAAATGAAAAATGAAAGCATATTCACCAAAAGGTGCTGGCATAACTGGATATCAACATGTAGAGGAATGAATATAAATCCATACCTATCACCATGCACAAAACTCAAGTCCAAAAGGATCAACGACCTCACATAAAGCCAACCACACTGAACCTTGTAGCAGAAAAAGTGGGAAGTACAATTGAGTACATTGACACAGGAGACTACTTACTAAATATAACTCCAGCAGAACAGACACTGAGAGAAACAATTAATAAATGGGACCTCCTGAAACTGAAAAGCTTCTGTAAAGCAAAGGACTTGGTCCACATGAAAAAACAGCAGCCTACAGAATGGGAAAAGATCTTTACCAACCCCACATCAGACAGAGGGCTTATTTCCAAAATATACAAATAACTCAAGAAATTGGACAACAAAAGAACAAATAATCCAATAAAAAAATGAGGTACAGAGATAAACAGAGAACTCTCAACAGAGGAATCTAAATTGACTGGAAGACACCTAAGGAAATGTTCAACATCCTTAGTCTTCAGAGAAATGCAAACCAAAACAACTCTGAGATTCCATCTTACATCTGTAAGAATGGCCAAGATCAAGAACGCCGATGACAACTTATGCTGGAGAGGTTGTGGAGTAAAGGGAACACTCCTTCATTACTGGAGGGAGTACAAATTAGTATAGCCACTTTGGATATCAGTATAGCAATTTCTCATAAAATTAGGAAACAACTTACCTCAAGACCCAGCAATACTACTCTTGGATATATACCCAAAGGATTTTCAATCATACCACTAGGACATATGCTCATAGCAGCATTGTCATAGCCAGAACCTGGAAACAACCTAAATGCCCCTTGAACAAAGAATGAATAAGGAAAATGTGGTACATTTACACAATGGGTACTACACAACAGAAAAAAATAATGACATCGGGAAATTTGTGGGCAAATGGATGGATCTAGAAAACACCATACTGAGTGAAGTAACCCAGACCCAGATGTGCTCACTCATAATAATAGACGTAATTTTATGACTATAAAGCAAAGAAAAACAAGCCTATGATTCATAATTCTAGAGAACCTAGCCAACAATGAGGACCCTAAGAGAGACAGACATACATGGATCTAATCTACATGGGACATAGAAAAAGACAAGATCTCCTGAGTAAATTGGGAGCATGGGGACCATGGGAGAGGGTAGAATGGGAGAGGAGAAGAAGAAATGGACGTGGAAAAAAATATATAGCTCAAAGAAAAAAACAGCAAAAACAATAATATTTTTAAAAGATGGTTAGAGAAACAGGGATTTTTGTGGTCACTAGAACATATGCACAATTGTTCTAGACAGCTTCTTTGATCGCCAACATTTGTCTAGATGTTTAGGTAGAATTCTACACACAGTCTCTTTACAATTTGTCGTACCTCAGGCAGTACATTGCTTGAACAGTGTAGTGAAAAGAGAGATGAAATTTTCACAACTTTAATTGAGCCTAAACTTTCCTTCTTATCCACAACAACTGTATGCATATGTTGGGTTTACATGGTTTTTTTTTTTTTCCTGAGAGCTGCTCACTAATTCGAGAATAGACTTGGCCTAAAGAACATTTGGACGTGTTCGCATCGCAGGGGGTAATTTCTGAACACTAAAACATTGTATTTGCAGTTGTCCTAGGAAAACCATGCCAAACTGTCCATTTCCCTCCTGTGAGATTTCACTTGTTTGCATCTTTATTAAGCTAAAAAGAAAAAAAATGATATACTGGATGATTGCCACATGTCTTTGGAACTAAGTATTGTATACTGAAACAATTTAACATGCAGTAAAAACTCAGTAATTGACCATATATGTTAGTGAAAAATGCACGTGTTTTGCCAAAAGGCTACCCACAAATGAAAATCCTGATTTAGACACTAATATATTGTTAACCTCCCCCCCCCAAAAAAAATAGCTCAAGGCATGATTCATTGTAAAGCCTATCTTTATTTGTAGTTTTTGTGGAAAAGCAGTTGTTAGTTCCAGCAATGGAAGGAAGAGTTTCTAAAACTATCTTTTGCTACCCATACATACATCAGCAATCAGTGTGAATGAGCTAGTGAAATGCAGAACTACCAAGACATCAAAAAGTCAGACGAGTCTTGAAAATAGCAGTGATGTGTATATTCTAACCTTCCATGAGTTCCACAGGAGTTAAAGTGCAAGCAAAGTAGACTGCAGTGTCCCAATGTCCTCGGCATCATTTCTATGTATGGTGTGGAGTAGAAGCACATTGAAAAGGCAGGGCAGGACAGCTGGGTCCTGAGTGGACAAGGTTGCCACCATGTCAGGAAAACCAGGTCACATGAAGCTGATGCATTCCAGAGCACCAGGTCTTTCCCGGAGCCTACATTTGCCAAGCTGTTAACACGTAGAAATGCAGCAATGAAAGCAATAGAAAGCTGGAGTCCCTTGGAGTACAGTTAGGATAGTCCTGCCTGGTGAATTTGGGGCAGAGGCATCAAGTGTCACTAATGGATCAAGTGAGTGACAGAAACTTCATGTTTGGAACCCCACATTAACATACCAACAAAATCTTTCACAGAATAGGCTATGAATCAAAAAATGTAAAAGAAATCAAACTACTAAAGCAAAAGAAAAGTGTTAAGTACTGACAAGACTGCCATAAAGCAGAGCGATGCCTTACTTTGACTTGTTTTATGGAAGATAACATCTTTTCCTCTTGTTTTTGGGTTTTTCTACTACCACTTTCTGTCTCTTAACCCCCATTTCTTAATTTTAGATTAAATTTATTTATTGAACTTCACTTTAAAAGCCATGCCATGATTAGAGTTTGTTTTATTTTTTTTTATGTTTAGATTAAGTTGTCAGAGCAGCGTTCTGAGGAATTTGCTGTGAGTCCAGAGAGAGATGAGTAAAGCCACATTTGTGGGAAGGGTCTTCAGCAGCTCAGCAGCTCTCCAGCCAGTAAAGCCCATTTTATTCATTAAACCTTCAGAGACATTCCAATATAGAAATAACAACATGGTGTTGAAGAAAATTACAAACCATCTGATGATGAAATTCCTGAAATAGGAAATCTGGGATCCAATTGAGTAAAGTAGCCACAGAGAGTGTGGAGCTCAAGTAGATTTAAGATCCGAGTGGAGAACTGCACTTTGAAATTTCTATCAGCATCTTGGCCAGCAGAACTAGGTCTCGATGCACATGGTCAATAACTATTTTAGAACGTCTTCAACATCCCTCGTCACCAAGCCCATTCAGCACAACTATCATTAAGAAATCTGAGCTGTTCAACATCCTTAGTCATCAAAGAAGCGCAAATCAAAATAACTCTGAGATTCTGTAAGAATGGCCAAGACCAAAAACACTGATATCAACTTAAGGCTGGAGAGGTTGTGGGCTAAAGGGAACACTCCTGCATTGCTGGTGGGAGTACAAGCTGGTACAGCCCCTTTGGATATCAGTGTAGTGATTTCTCAGAAAATTAGAAAACAACCTTCCTCAAGATCCAGCAATGCCACTTTTTGGTATATATCCAAAGGATGCTCAATCGTACCACAAGGATATATGCTCAACTATCTTTGTAGCAGCTTTGTTTGTCATAGCCAGAACCTGAAATCAACCTAAATGCCCCTTGACCAAAGAATGGATTAGGAAAATGTGGTACATTTACTCAATGGAGTACTACAAAGCAGAAAAAAAAACAACATCTTGAAATTTGCAAACAGATGGATGGAGCTAGAAAACATCATATTGAGTGAGGTAACCCAGACCCAGAAAAACAATTATTATATATACTCACTCATAAGTGGTTTTTAAACCTAAAGCAAAGAAAACCAGCCTACAAATCACAATGCCAGAGAACCTAGACAACAATGAGGATCCTAAGAGAGATATACATGGATCTAATCTACATGGGAAGTAGAAAAAGACAAGATCTCCTGAGTAAATCGGGATCATGGGGACCATGGGAGAGAGTTGAAGGGAGGGAAGAGAAAGGGAAGGGAACAGAGAAAAAGGTATAGCCCATCAATATTTTAAAAAGGAAAAAAAAAGCAGTATAAAAAAAGTCTGAGCTGAGTGGTGGTGATATATGCCTTTATTTCAAGCACCCAGGAGGCAGAGGCAGGGGTATCTCTGTGAGTATGAGGCCAAACTTGTCTAGAGAGAAAATACTGGGACAGTCAGAACTGCACAGAGAAACCCTGTCTCAAAAAAAAAAGAGGAGGAGGAGGAGGAGGAGGAAGGAAGAAGAAGAGGGGGAAGAAAGGAGGAAGAGGAGAAAGAGGAAGAAGAGGGAGGAGGAGAAAATCTGACAACAAATATTGGATGGGATGTAAGAAGATAGGAACCGTGTTTCACTGCCGGCAAGGGTGCAAATTAATACAGTCATTATGGAAATCAGTTTGGATAGTCCTGCAAAACATAAAACAATGCCAAGTGATCATGTATTCCACCCCTGAGAATATATACACCTGGAGAACTTCATATCCTACCATAGAGTTATTCGCACATACATGTTTCTTGCTCCTCTGTTTACAATTGAAAAAAATAGAACTAACCTATATGTGCATCAACAAATGGATAGATAATGGAACTGTGGTACCCCTATAAATGGACTATTAGTTCCTTATGAAGGAAATATGAAATCTGCAGGAGAATAGATGGACTTAGATTGATTATATTAAGCACTGTCACACAATCTCAGGGGAAAAAAAAACATGCATTCTTCCTCATATGTGGAGTTTAGTCTGTACTGTATTCTTGTTTATATGTAAAACTGTAAGTGTGGGTACAGAATAACATTTAGAAAGAAAACCAGTAAGAAGGCCTCACTCGGTAGCAGCTCTCCACAGTACCTGAGACAGTGGTATACTGGGGTTCTTGTGGGTGTCAAGTTCCACACTGACAGTGCTCTGTTGTCACCTAACCCTTACATCAACCCTATGAGGTTTCTTAACCTCTGTTTTATGGTTGCATAAACCGGGGCTTAGTGAGTCATACCTTGCCCCATAGTTACACAGACAGTAAACTGTTGAGTTAATATTTAAACCAGATGTTCTGACCCCAGGGTGAGCTCTTCACTCTCATAGTGTGCTAGATTTCCTCAAGCTATAAGGCACAGAAAATATATTAAAGTTAATTAGCCCCGCCATTATGACTTGACTTCTAGCATTACAATATCATTACTCTTTACAGTTTTTATTCTATGTTATTCATTAAGTAGATTTCATGAGGTAGCCTGGAAACCTAACTGCCATTTATAATAGCGTATTGAAATGCGGCCTGAGTCTTGACCAACTAACCTAAAAGTAATTTTGAATGGTGGTTCCAAGTTTGAAAATGTCTGCTTGTATTAGCAATATTGTTTTTTTTTAGTTATTTAACTAAAGATATTTAAATGGTTTTAAGAAACTATTTACCTTTGGCTTTGTGCCCTGGGACTAACCTCTAATAACATGGACACAGAATCAAAGGTACGCGCCCTCAGTACTCATTCAAGTAAATATATATTCAAATGGACACAGGCTCGCTTGGATTGAGGAAAACAAGCACACATTTGTAAATCGTTTCCTATATATGCAGGGCACATTCAATCCATCCCTGTGCATACTGACAGGCACCCTGGGTCTCCTTTGTTCTTATTTCTACATGAACTCTGCAACAGTTTGGATTTTTAATGTCCCCCAAAAGTCTGTCCATTTAAGGCTTGTTTCCCAGGATGGCGCCACTGAGTAATAGCATAGCTGTGAAGGGGTCCTACTAGAAGATGTTATGTAGTTGTGTCCTTGAAGGGAATTATGGCACCCCGCGTTTTTCTTAATTATCTTTTGTTTTTCATGCCCATGAGGTGAATGATTTGCTTGACCACTCATGCCCATCAGCTCAAAGCAAGAGTGGCCATCAGTCATAGACTGTGAGACAATATAGACCTTTTCCCTCTATAAATTGACTGTCCATGTTTTCTGTTACAGTTTCACAGAAGAACACAGCTCCTACTCACCGTGCCCTTCAGAGTAACAGCACATGTACTCAGGTCCTGGGCACAAAAGAAACTCAATTTGATTTCTAAAGTGGTGAATTATGACCTGTCTAACCTTGGGCATTCTGAGGGTTTAACATTGCTAAACTACACACCTTGCTAGTAAAATTCTAAAGCGTTTTTGTGAAATTGCTGTGAGTACTCAAAGTAGCAAATTAAAATTACACGAGTTCTGAGATTGGGAATTTCAAACATGCCTGAACATCTCGGACCGCTTTCTTGAGTTTAAATTCAATTATCTTGTTTCCATCGTGGCTTGAACATGGTGATGGGAAGTGGTTTGGTATAAAAATTCTTTGGGGTAAGCCAGCAAGAAAGGCTAAACAAAGCCAAGCTGTGCTGTTTTGCCACACAATCCCTCTAGGCTTCATCACTAGTTGAGAAGATGACAAAAGTTAATCTTTGGTGATTTTTTTTCTTTACTCCAAATATCTCAAACTATATCTGGTCTACATTCTCTTTGTGAATAATAAAAAACAAACAAGTCTCTCTCTTTCTATCCTCTTCCTGCCTCCCTGCTCCACCTCTGTTCTCACTATGCAGACCAAGCTGGCTGCAAAGCTCTCAGAACTCTGTTTGCTTCTGCCGCCCACCCCCAGCACTGGGATTAAAGCTGTGCACCACTACCATGACCAGGTAAACAAGGCTTTTGACATGAGTCTTATTCTACCTATGCCATTATTATTTTTCATCTAATTTTCCATGAGATTTCTGAGTAGATTAAAGATAAAGGAAATCATGGTTGGTACCAAGGGCTTGAGCCTGGAGGACTGAGGAAGAAGTACAAGAAGCAGAAAGGGCTGGTAGATTCCTTTGCCTTTGCTCATGAAAAATGCAGGAGAGATCACCAAATCTCTCACTCACTTTCAAGGTTTGGGTTTCATATTGAGTGTCTGCAGGGAGACATACTGATGGGAAAGAGGACCACTGTGATGTTAACATGATCAGCCTGACAGAATTTAGTCTCACCTCGCTAATCCTCTGCTGATCCTCCAGATGTGCCTGTGAGGGATAATAGAGGCGAGGTTAATTGAGGTGAGAGAGGAACCCTGAATGTGAGTAGCATTATTCCATGGGGTGGGGGTCTTAGGCTGCATAAAAAGAACAAGATGGGCAGAGGATCAGCATTCATCATTCTCTGCTTCCTGGTATGTGATGTCAATGAGGCCTCCAGCTCCTGGTCACATGGCTTCCTCATCATGACAGACTGACTTCATGAAGAAATACTCTTCTTCCCTTAAGCCACGTCTTGTTGGTGTTTTGTCACAGCAATTAGAAAATAATAACACAAGTGCCTTGATTCCTGCTAGATTTCAGATAGTGTGTCCGTAGTGGCTGTGTGCACAGAAGCAGCAATGCCACATCCTGGGAGTGACCAGGAACACAGCAGCAGTAGCTCTCCCTACTCAGTGTCCGTGGGAAGAAAGCCTGAGTACTAAACTTGATTCCAAACTTACTTCTGACAAATTATTTCACTTCTATGAGGTAATGTCTTTAATAAGAAAAAAAATGCTTCCAAATGATGCCACTATTTTAATGTTTTGATATTTATTACTACTATTTATATTATTGTATACATTTGTGTATCATGTTCCCGTGTGAGTGAAGTCATGTGAATGCACAAGTGTGGAAGTCAGAGGACAGCATTCATAAGTCTGCCCTCTCCTTCTACCAGGCTTGGGAATTGAACTCAGATAACCAGGCTTGTGCTGCAAGCATTTGACTCTCTGAACTATCTTGTCAGCCAAATTACTTTCCCTTCCCCCAAGCCTTCCTACATCCTCCCATCTCCAAACCCACTCAACTCCACACCCCTTCTCTCTCTCTCTCTCTCTCTCTCTCTCTCTCTCTCTCTCTC